GCGGGAGCGGGAGATGGCCGGCCCGCAGCAGGCCCCGCACCTCCACCTGGCCGAGCTCACCGCCTCTCAGTTCCTCGACGTCTGGCGACATTTCGACGCGGACGGTCAGTCCCGGGACGCGGGGGGACCCGCCGTCACCCCCCCAAAACCGGCGGGGAGGGCAGCGGGCTGAACATCCCCGGGAGTGCGGGGCTGGGGCGGGGCGGGGGGGGACATGATGGAGAGTCCCTGGACATCTCGTCGGGGGGAAGCCCAGAGGAAGTAGAGCCTCCGCCGCCGCTGCCCGGGGAAAACGGAGAGCTCCCGGGGCAATGGAGAGCCCCCAGGACGATGGAGAACCCCCGGGGCGCAGCCCCGTCGCGGGGGAGCTCCGGGATCGGGGACACCATCACCCCCCCGCCCCGGACCTCCCCGTCGGGAAAGGCTGGGGAGCCCCAGCACCGGCCCCCGCCGGGAGCTCCCAGCCCGTGGGACGTTGAGCCCCGGGTCTCCTTCGTGCGTCCCCCGAGTGCCGGGTCCCCCAAGAGCTGGGGTTTGCTCAGGGCTGCTGTCATCCCTGGGTGCTGGCCGGGGGGGGGGTCCTGCCCTTCCCACCATGTCCCCTCCCAGGAAACCCTTGCCTGGTGCCCACCATCAGTCCCCTCCATCCCTTCTGCCGCCGTGGTGCCCCAACCTTGGCACCTGGGTTGCCTGGCTCTTTGGGGGACAACACGGCCACCAGCCTGGCCCCAGGGCCACCCCCTTGCCCTGGAGGTGGGGGGGTGACAGAGGGGGTGTCCCTTGCCTGGAGCAGGGTGAGGAATGGCCCCTCCATGGCTGGAGCGCGCGGTCCCTCTCCACCTGCTCCCCAGCCCAGCAAAACCTCTCCCCGGGGATGCTGTGGCAGTGGCCATGCCCCCAACAGGGATGTCACCTCCCCACGGAGTCACAGCTGAGCATGCCACCCCTAGTCCCCATCACTGTCAGCCCCAGAAAGGGGGGAGAGGGACAGGGAATGCAAAAAGCTGCATCGTTTTGGTCGGAAAATAGTTTATCTCAGGGCTGTGGTGCAGTGAAGGAGGCTCAGCCCTCTGGGAAGAGGAGCCCGGGAGAAAGCACTTGCCCTTCCCTGGGTCTCCAGTCCCCGGGGGGAGGTTTGGGGACCGACCCCCGCTGGGAACTGCGTCATGCAGTGTTCTGGGCGTGCTGAAGCTCAGCCTGCTCTGGGTGCCCTCCTGGCTGCGCCGTCGGGGTCCCTCCTGCGGCCCCACAGCGCCGGGGCACGCGAGCACAGCTGTCTCTGTCACTGCTGGAGCTGGCACTGGAGCAGCCGAGGGGTTGGGGAGGGTGGGACGGTCACAGCCCCGTGGGAGTGGGCCGCTCCTGGTGTGGGGTGTCCAGCTGCCTTCCTGCAGCACATCCCACTGCGCCCTTGGATGTGCTCCGTCATCTCCAAAACACAGAGGCAGGCACGGATCCAGCTTGGCCCGCGGCTCCTGGCCAGGGCAACGCTGTCGGGCTGCGCCACGGCAGGTGCTCAGGAGAGGAGGGACTCGGGTGGCGGGGGAGATGGAGGCCTTGACAAGGACGATGCTTGGCCACACCAGGTGGGAGATCCAACAGCTGTGGCTGCTTCCCTCTGCCGACGGGCACGGGGTGATGGAGGGACCTGGGGTTCATCCCCCTGCGCACGGGGCTGTCTCACCCAAGCTCTTCCCTGTGCTTAAACCTCTCCAATGGTGTTTTCACCTGCTTCCCCTTAAGGCTCCTGATGCCCCAGAGATGTCTCTTTGGGTGTCTTTTATGTCCTCACTTTGCCAGCCACGGCTGTCCCGTGGCTCTGTGGTGCAGGGAGGCTCCGAAGTGCAGCCGCATGGACTGGCCATGGCTCTCTGGAGGGGAGAGCTGCTCCGCACCCTGCTGCTCTGCGGACACAGATCAGACCTGTCCAAGCTGATGCTTGGGAGAAACCAAGCTACTGGCCATGACTTTTCTTGGAGTTATTCTTTTTCCCTGCTCAAAACTCCTGCTGATTTTTTTTTTTCCAACTGAATTCAAAGGAACTGGGGGCTCTCCCACACCCACAAAAGCAAAACCCCTGGGAAGTGCAGCAGAAAGCTAAGCCCCTCGGTGGCTCACACCAGCACCCTGACATCACCAGAGCCCCTTGTCCGCTCCTGGGAGGGATGATGCTCATCTGTCGGGATGAGGCCATCAAAGAGGAAGGTGCCCTGGGACTTCCCCAGGCGCTTCCAGCAGGGATGTGGATGGGTTATTCCCAGGGGAGAAGATGCTGCTAGGGAGCCCGCGGGTGATGATGCCGAAGGCGGCGCAGAGCAGGGCACCATGGCCCGAGCCTCTGGGGGCTGAAATGGGGATGGGTTTTTTGGGGGGGGATGCCCATGAGGAATAGCCCTGGCTATCCCTCATTCAGGCACTTTGGAGGAAAGGGCAGTGTCCCCCAGCTGTGCCCAGTTGTTGGTAGGAGGGACAATTTCTGGCAGGGAGGTGACATCTTGCCTGGCAGCACCGTGGAGCTGGTGTCCTCACTGAGGTCTCCCAGCTGTGGCACGACCCTGCTGCTTCGAAGCATGCCAGTCACCCCCTCAAAGCCACCAAGGGCCAGTGCTGTGGGAGTGATCCATGGTTGGGTCCTGGCTGAGCCGTCCTGCCACCGAGCATCCTGCGGGCAAGGAAAGGTGGTGGATACCCCCAGTTCCATAGGAACCACATCTTGGCACAGAGATCGGCAGGCAGGGGTGGGGGGTTACATGGAACAGGGACCTTTCTGAGTCCCCGGCCACCTCAGAGACCAGTGCTGGGCTGACCCCATCCTGGGACTGATCCTGCACCAGGGGGATGACGCTGTGCTGGCTGCCTTGTCTCTGTTCCCTGTTTGCCCTCACTGGCCCCCACAGTGGGTTGAGAGGAGACAGTCCTGCTTGGGGGATGCTCGGGCAGGACAGAGAGGTTTAATTAAACCACCCACTTACAGCATCAGATGCAGAAAATGCAGCAAACACTGGGATGGGGACAAAGCCCCCTGCACCCTACAAGCAGGCGCAGGGGACAAGCCTGGGGTTATGCCCCCGCTCCGAGCTACAACATGTGGGGGCTCCGGCTCTCTGCAAATTCGGGCATTGCCGGGTTTGTATAGCCCCCGGCATCAGCTGGTGTTTCTTTGCTGCCACAGTCACCTCGGAGCCGTGTCCCCATGCGGAGGGGGACAGGAGCTGCATCCCCCAGGACCATCCCTCCCTCACCTCCTGCCCTCTGACACTGTGGGGGGTGGGGGGTGACTTACTGCATTTTTTTCCTTCCCTAGGAAATGGCTACATCGAAGGCAAAGAGCTGGAAAACTTCTTCCAGGAGCTGGAAAGTGCGAGGAAGGGGGCGGGTGTGGTAAGGGCCTCTCCTGGTTTTGTTCCTTCCTTCCCCCATTCCCTCCTGCCCAAAGGTTCAGGCTCACGTCAACCCCATCTCCTTTGGGAATGGCAGTGACAAGCAGGACCAGGGCACCTCTGGGAGGGAAGGGGGGGACACCAGCCTGGGGGTGGGGAGTTAAACGCTCCCATCCCCTCTCCTTGCCAGCCGGACTCCAAGAACGACGACTTGGGTGACAAGATGAAGGAGTTCATGCATAAGTACGACAAAAATGCAGATGGCAAAATTGAGATGGCGGAGGTGAGTGGTGCTGGCCCTGCACATCCCCGGGATGCTCACGTTCCCCCCTGACGCTCGTGTTCCCCGCAGCTGGCCCAGATCCTGCCCACGGAAGAGAATTTCCTGCTGTGTTTCCGCCAGCATGTGGGCTCCAGCTCGGAGTTCATGGAGGTGAGCAGGACAGGCTGTGTTGGGGCTTCCATGGGATTTGGTCCCCGGTGCCTGGCTCCACCATGGAGAAACAACCGAGTGCTGGCATTGCCCAAACCTCCCTGGGTCTCCCCCAGACTCTTGGCTTTAACTCAGCATTGGGAGGAGGTGCTGGTTTGGGGGGAGAGCAGGAGTGTGGTGAGTTTTCCCAGTCCTCGGTGCCCCTCGGGCACCTCTCAGGGCAGCCAGGCACCTCATCCAGGTCTCCAGGTGAGGTGAGGTGCAGAGATTTGGAGCTGTTTCTGTAAATTCCCCCTTTGGGGTGGTCAGTCCTTAGTGTCCAAGGGATGTGCTGAAGCAGAACACTGCTCTGGGCCACCCCAAAACCTCGCTGTGCCCTTGCACGGGGTGAACCCATCTGCAGGGTGGGAGAGAAATTGCTGATGGGGACTGAAACACGGCTGGGGGTAGAGAGGGGTGTGCAGCATGCCGGGCAGGGATAGCTTGTGCTTGGAAAATGAACCCAGGGTGGAGGCGATGGCAGAAAGAGGAGCGCTCCATGGCATGGTGGGGGGGTTAAGTGGGTGCTATTGTTTAATTGGGGGATGCAATCAAACCTTAAAGCCCAGCCTTGCACGTGGGGGTGAGGATAACAGCACTTGAACTCTTGCTATGGGGATGACCAAAAGCATCCAGCCCCAAGGGAGAGCATGTGGCACTGCTCAGACCACCACAAGCCAAGATTGAAGACATGAGATGACCCCATCTCTGCTAGGGTGGTGGGGGATGCTCCAAGTGGGGGGGTTATGGGGGTACCCACTTGTCGGTGGTGGGGGAAACGTAGGACACAAGCCCACACTAACATTCACGGTGGCTGCTTCACAGGCTTGGCGCAGGTACGACACGGACCGCAGTGGCTACATCGAAGCCAACGAGCTCAAGGTGGGCTGTGGGCGTGGGGTGGGCTGAGCTGGGTCCCTGCTGGTGGAGCATCCCCGCTGGGACAGCCAGGGATGGGGACAGCCAGCAAAGCCCTCTCTCCTTCCAGGGCTTCTTGTCGGACCTGCTGAAGAAGGCAAACCGGCCCTATGATGAGCCCAAGCTGCAAGAGTACACGCAGACCATCGTAAGTGGGACCTCCGGGCTGGTCCTGGGGGATCACGGCTCTCCAGAGGCAGGGCAGGTCCCGCCCCCAGCCTCAGGGGATCTCGCCACCCCACAGCGGGTGGGAGAGAGGGGAGGAGGTGGCGATGGGTGACAAGGTGCCACTTGTGTCCCGGCAGCTGCGGATGTTCGACATGAACGGTGATGGGAAGCTGGGCCTCTCGGAGATGTCCCGGTAAGGTCACAGGCGGCGAGAAGGAAGTGGTGGGGAGGGAAAGACACCCTGGAACACTTGTGTCTAGGAAGACTCTGCTCCAACTTCCGAGGAAAACAGTTTTCCTCTTTAATTTGCTCATGTTTCTGAACAAAAAGTGATTTTGGTTTAAAAAAAAGTGTCTTCTCCTGGTGGCTTCCAGCTCATCCCAGTCCTTCTTGTTTTACAGACTTTTACCCGTGCAAGAAAATTTCCTTCTGAAGTTCCAGGTAAAATAAAAGTAATAATAAAAAAAAAACCCCAAACATTCCTGTTCCTTGCTTGCATCTCTGTCCCCTTCCTCATGCTCCAATGTTCCTTGCCACTGCTCAGGGGATGAAGCTGTCCTCGGAGGAGTTCAACGCCATCTTCGCCTTCTATGACAAGGTAGGGAGCCGGCTCCTAGGAAGCTGCCCCAAATAAATATAACTCAGCAAAAAAACCCCAAACCAACCCATGTGTTTTCGGCTGGGTCAATTCCCTGCTCTGATTTAGGGTGCGAGCGCTGGGTTTACACCTGGCTGTGCTGGCTAAGGGTCTGAGGGTGCCCCCCACAGCCATGCCTTGCGGGGGGGCTTATGGGGCTTGTGTCCTACCCCCTGCTGATGTCCTTCCCTCGTTATCCAGGATGGAAGTGGCTTCATTGACGAGAATGAGCTGGACGCGCTTTTGAAAGACCTGTACGAGAAGAATAAGAAAGTAAGTGGGGAGGATTAAGTGGGGGACGGAGCCGGGGTGCCCCCCCCTCCAGACCACCACACCCCTCCATGCCTCCTCCCCTCTCCCAGCAGCATCTTCCACCCCCTCCATCCATGTTCCCCAGGCACCAGGAGAGACGCTGGTCTAGATGCCAACCCTGTGTCCCCATGGGAGGCTGTGCCAGAGCTGGCGGTGGCAGGGGGGACACGGGTGTCCCAGCCTGGGGGTGCCTACCCCAGGGAGAACCAGGGTGCTCAGCCCCACCATTACCACCCATTCCTCCCTGTTCCTTCCAGGAGATGAACATCCAGCAGCTCACCAACTACAGGAAGAGCATCATGAACCTCTCTGATGGGGGCAAACTCTACCGCAAGGAACTGGAGATCGTGCTCTGCAATGAGCCCCCCATGTAGGACCCCCCCCACCTCAAGCTCTTCCTCACCGAAAAACAAGCACAGTGGGGGAGCACCCACCACTGCAGCGCTGGTGGGGGGGGCTGGGGAGGGGGTGGGTGCTGAGCCCCGAGTGGGGGCTCAGTGCCCACTGCCCCCCACCCCACCCCCTGCCAGCGCTCGCCCAGCAGCTCTTGGGTTTGCTGTAGATTGTTAAAATCCCACCTTGGGGGAAAACCCTTATTTTACTTTATTTTTTTTACCCCATTCTGCCTGGTTGGTTTCATTATTATTATTATTTTTTGTTGGGGGGGGGGTCGTTTTCATTTGGTCTTTTCTTGTGTTTTTATCATTTACCAAAGAAGAGTTTACAAATAAATTCAAGTACTGCTAGACCAGAGCCTTGCTGGCTTCAAGGCTGAGCCCCCCCCTCCACCATGGGTGTCAACAGTGGCAGTGGGTACAGGGTGCAAGTGTGGGTGGCTGGGTGGGGGCCATGGTGGTGACGTCAGTGCGATGCTGGGGGTGGGGGGCAGCCCCTGTACAGCCCAGTTCAGCCCTATATAGCCCAGTATGGTACAATATCATTCTGTAGGGCCAAGTACAGCTCTGTACAGCCCACTATGGTGCAGTGCAGTCCTATATGGCCATGTACAGCCCAGTACAACCCCGTATGGCCCAGTACAACCCTATACAGCCCAGTATGGTGCAATTCAGTCCTGTATGGCCCCCTATAGTTCATTATGGCCCAGTATAACCCTGTACAGCCCAGTATGGCTCGGTACAGCCCTCTATGGTACAGTACAATCATGTATGGCCCGGTGCAGCCCTGTACAGCCCAGTATGTTGCAGTGCAGTCCTGTATGGCCCAGTACAGCTGCACACAGCCCAGTGTGGCCCAATACAGCCCTGTACAGTCCAGTGCAGCCCAGTATGGTGCAATACAGTCCTGTATGGCTCAGTACAGCCCAGTGCAGCCCAATACTGCTGTATAAAGCCCTGTATGGCCCCATATGCTGCTGTACAGCCCTGTACAGCTAAGCACAGCCCAGTACAGTGCTGTACAGCTCAGCATGGTGCAGTACAGTCCTTTATGTCCCAGTACAGCCCTGTACAGCCCTGTATGGCATGGTGCAGTCCTATACGGCCAAGTACAGCCCCATAGAGCCCAGTATGGCCCAACACAGTCCTGCGCAGCCCTGTACAGCTCCATATGGCCAAGTACAGCCCAGTATGGCCCTGTACAGCCCAGTATGGTGCATTACATTCCTGTATAGCCCAGTGTGGCCCCATAACCGCCCTGTACAGACCCGTATGGCCCCGTACGGTGCTGCACAGTCCAATACAGCCAAGCACAGCGCTGTACAGCCTACCATGGTGCAGTACAGTCCTCTATGTCCCAGTACAGCCCAGTGCGGCCCACCGCGTCCCAGGCGAGCCCCCCACTGCGGCCAGGACGGCGCAGAACCGGGCGGGCGGCGCGGCCGCAGGTAGCCCTCCCGGCTGCTAGGGGGCGGGATGCCGGAGCGGGGGGACGCATGCGCGGGGCGGGGCGCGAGGCGCTCGGCCGCGGTGTGAAGTGTGCGCTCGCCAGCCCCCTTGCCTCCGCCGCCGCCATGGCTCTCCTGCACAGCCACCGGCTCCTCACCGTCCCGCGCTTCGCCGCCGCCCGCGCTAGGTGAGGGGCGGTTTAGCTGGTGCCGGCGGAGGGACTTTCCCGCCGCCGAGGGCCGCGCCGCCGCCGGGCCCGGTGCTGGGCGATCCCTGTAGGGCGAGGCGGGTCGGGGGGTGGGCTGCGGGGAGCGGGCGCTTCGCGGTGGGGGGGATGGGAAAGCGTGTCCCTCCGTGGAGCCTGTAGGCGCCGCCGGTGACGTCGCGGCGGGGAAGGGGGTTGCCGGGGCGACGGCGCGCGGATTGGCCGGGGAATGCAGGAGTCGGGGGGCGCGCGGCACCTCTTCGCGTTCTGATTGGCTGCCGCCGGGCCCGGCGCCCCCAGCCTGCCCTTGAGGAACGGCCGTGGAGGGCGCGTGGGCGTGCGGCGGGGTGGCGCGCGCACGTGCACCGCGCCGGGGTACCGGCTTGCACCGTGCAACGGGGCCGGGGGGACCCCCTGCACCGAGAGATGGGGCCGGGGGCACCCTGTGCAGCGGGGCCGGGGTGCTGCTGGTGGTGTGCACTGTGCAGCGGGGCCGGGAGGACCCTGTGCGCCGAGAAGTGGGGCTGGGGTGCTTCTTTTGGTGTGCACTGTGTAACGGGGCCGGAGGGACACCATGCACTGTGAAATGGGGCTGGGGCGCTGCTCCCCACCATGCAGCTTGTAGTGAGACCAAGGGGATCCCATGCACCGTGAAATGGGCCTGGGAATTGCGCACTGTGTAGTGGGTCTACAGGGACCCGCCATCCACCATGAAATGGGGCTGGGGCCGTGCTGCCGGTGTGCAGTTTTGCCTGTGCTAGAGCTATGCCTTTAGGTGTGCAAAGCCTGGCATGAGTGGGATGGGAGCGAGGGAGGACCAGTGAGAACCACTTCTGCACTGGCAGCTCTGGATTCCACTGTCTCTGAAGCCTGCAGAGGGATGGGTAGAAAGCTCCAGGGTGCAGCTGGAGCCCTGTGAAGAGCCCAGAACAGCTCCACAAAGTACAGCTGACCTGAGAGCCGCAGGGCACTGGCTGGGCACACAACCATGACCAAGTGGCCAAGAAGCAGAGCGTGCAGAGGGATGTGGGCAAGGCCTTCCTGCTCTCCAGAGCCCTTTGACTCCTGGCCTACACTGGCTCAAGAAGCTTTAAGGAAGAGTTCCCAGCCCTTGTCAGTGTAGGAAAGCAGTGGGTTTTTATTTCCCCATTCCAGCAGATAAAGAAGGCTATTAGATATTGATTAACCCTGTTCTGTCTAGCGTGGCCCCTTGCTGTCTTGTGAGACAAATGCTCCCAGCCCCTGCTTCTTCAGAGGCAGCTGTCTGGCTTTTCTCAGCAGGTACGGAAGAGCAGCTATCTAGAACTTGTGTTTTCTGCCCTTGGACTGTAGCAGGCCTGTGAAAAGTATGCAAGCCCACTGGCAATAGCTTTGCTTTTTTCAAGCTTGTTATATAGCAAACTACAAATTACCAAATTGAATTAAGGTCACTTAAAAGAGACACAGACCATCCCTTTTGTAAGTAAAGAGCCTTTGTGCACAGTCCTTAGTTGTTCCCATGCAGCGTGCGGGAAGAGTGGCTCCTTATCCCGCGACAGGGGATACTAAGCAGTGATTAGCAGTTTCTGATTCCTTATTTTCAGCAACTTCACGTGGTGCTCTGGTGCTTGGAGCTGTTACCATTGCTCTGTGCTGGGAATGGTCTTTCTGAAATCAGGACAAAGATTAAGAGATACGAAATGGTTAAAATGGCTCCCTTGACACACAAATGCTAATTAAGGTGATAACTCAGTCTGCTGCTCTGATGTATCATGAGACGGCTATTTTAAATGCTTTTCCTGGTGGGACGCTTACTACAGCTGGCTGGGGCAATGAATTTTTAGGCTTGAAAGGACCATAGTAGCCAGCAGCCTGTTGGCATTGTTCTTGTGTAAATATTTGCTTTAGCTGTAGTATCCAGACAGCATTGCCTTTGGCCCCTCTGCTCTGCTCCGGCTTGCAGAACTGCTGTAGGGGCTTTGGCAGAGGTTTTGAAATCCAGTATCCTATGTGGCTGTACCTCAGGGAACGGGGATTGGCCTTTTCACAATGGAAATGTTCACTGGACTTGTGAATACTTGCTTAACTACAGGAAAACTTGCTTTTTGGGCTTGGCTTGAGTCCATGAGCACACTCTTAGGTCTCTGCAACTCAGGCCATGAGCTCCACATACATTTTTAAAGGGTGTTGCTGTTTATGCAGTTCCTGGTGCGTTTTCCTACCCTCTCTGTCCCATCTGTCACGTTGCGCTTGCATGAAACTGGCTTGGAAGACCAGCCTGGCTGAAGCGTATGGAGACTGCTTGAATACCGGGTCTGCTCAGCATCTAAACTCTAACTCGGGCTGCCAATGTTCAAGTCCTGTAGCTGGAAAATGTGCTTTCTTTGGCTTACATCGGATATCCCTCAGGTAGTTCAACCCCAGCTTAGACTTACCTTCATTTAGTTTTCCACACTGAAATGCCTCCAGCCTGGCAGAGAAGATGTGCAGTTTATAACTTTGACCTTTATTCAAGACCAATGCTCTTTTAATTGCTCAAAATAAAAATATAACGCAGTGCAAAGGCAACAACATTACAGTAATGTAGGAGCAGCTGTGTGTTAGGACTTGTGGCCTCAGATCCATAATAGATCTCTTTTCCCAAACCCCTGTTGAGAAAGCTTTGCCTCTGTAATCTCTTGGGTATCCTGATGTGTTCGGGCCACTCAGCCTGGACTTTTTTCTCCTGTCTCCCTGCAAGCTCACCTCCCTGGAAACAGCAGAGGAGTCTTTCTTTGGCCTTCACCTGAAAACCTGTAGGCTGAGAGTGGGAAAATCAGTCCTAAACCTACCCTTCGCTGCCTTAAGCTGATAGAAAGACCGGCTCAGAATGAAAGTACTTAACTCTCTGGAGTGCTGCAGCTTAGCCTGCAGGATCAGCATTAATTGCAGCAGTAGTATATATTAGACCCCAGTGACCTGCTTAAGTGTTCGCAGGATCGGGACCTAAATACCCAAAACACTGTAAGCCGCTTGGTGAAAAGCCCAGCAGAATGAAGGTGCCGCCACTGTCTCAGAAACAGCAGCTCTTTAAAATAGATGGCTGGGCTCCTGCAGCCCTTGATACCAAAATTATCCTAGACCAGGTAAACTGCAGAGGGCCACGTTCCTGTGCAGAGTGCGTTTCTCTCTTCCCCTGCTCCTCCATTACCAGGAAGGCGTCACGAGAGGTTTTCCGAAGCAGCGTTGCAAGCTGCCTGAATCTGCAGGAGTTTTTTGCCCCGACAGCCCTGTCAGTGTGTCATGCTCAGGTTGGCTCCCCAGGCTGCTCCCTCCCTGCTGTTGCAGCCCGTGTCCCTCTCTGGAGGGTGCATGCTGCTGGCATGACTCACTCATCTTCCTTTCTAAGTTGATCCTGTACTTAACCAGAGAGGTAATTAAGACTTATTAGTGGTCTAGAAAATGCTAAGCACATCTTCCATTTTTAAACTGCCTGAGCTGGCTCTGCCTCATGTGTTTGCTGCCCTTTTTTCCACAGAGCCTGTCAAGAGGGGAAATGGAGGCTTTTTATTTGGAAATCCTGTACTGATGGGAAGAGCAGATAAGTCTGAAGAGGACCAATGATGTTTGGGGCTCTGATGAGATGCAATCTACACACACATGCTAGTGCAAAGTGTGTTTATGTAGTGACTAAACTGGGTCTAAGTTGACCCAAAACGGGGACAGAGTGGAGGGAGAAGGTGATTTTGTGAGTTCTGCTGATTACATCAGTGTTAGAGCTTCCTTAACCTGCCAGGCCCTGCTGTCTTCAGATGTGCTGTATCTGTCACCACACCAAGCACTCAGCAGGAGGTCTGGCTGGCCCCGGGGTGGCTCCAGGCTGCTGGCATTGCCTGGGGCAGGATCCAGCCCCGGGACAGCATTCTTGTGTTGGGAAAGCTAGTTATCTTGATGTGAGGCAGCCTTCCCCGGGCTGCAAAGCTTTGTAAAGCTGATATGTGGCAGCATTAGCTGTGAGAGCTTCTCTTTTAGCAATCAAGACTGAATCCTACCCCAGAGGAGATAGACCCAATCTACCTTATGCTTCATGCTTTGTCCCCTGCCAAGCTCAGGGGTCTGGGTAAGTGCCAGTGTGATGCTATGAGTCAGGATGCTCAGAGCTGAGTGGAGTCGCCTTCTTTAGTAATCCTGTCTTCAAGAGGGGACTGTTACAGCCATAGCCCTCTGCCAGGCAGGTTAAAAACCATCACACCACTTCACTTGTACTACCTACAAGCCTGCGAAGTCTGGACGTAGGGCTGGGCAGAGAGGCTCAGGCCAAAGAGAGAATAGCACGTTTCTTTTTATAGCGTGGTATGGTCTGCCCTTGACATTAAGAGAGCCTTTCCATCTTCAGGATGTCCTGCCAACAGGGCAGAGGCAGGTGGTTTGTAGAGCGGCTGCTGGAGAGTGGGGCACAAAGCTCCTCCTGATGCAGGGAGGTTTCATGCTTGAAGGGAAGGGGCCTTCATATTGGAGCTTGTCACACTGGGAAGAAAGTGTCCTCTGCGATTTCCAGGAAAACAGCATTTGGCTATGACATCCCTCTTCAAGCGAGGCAGAGCTTGTAGGGCAGGGAAGGGAAATATCTTATTAGGTCAGCCAATCAGCCAATGTTGAGGGAAAAGCAGATTCATTTTCATGCACAAGAGCCCTTCCAGGAGTTCAGAAGAGGCTCCGTATTCGTGCTTCGTGCAATTGCCTGGGTCTGGCCCAGATTCCCTGGAGGGGACTAATCTATGTGATCCCACCTGTAGGCTGTGAAGAGACAGCACTTGGCCAGAGTATAAGAGTTTAAGTCTTGTTTCCTCAGGACTTTCTTGTGTCAGCACATAAGGAAAGCATTTCTATGCATTAATAACTTGGAGGTGGTCAGGTATCTTCAGCCACAGAAGCTCTTTGCCCATTCTGCAACATAAAATGCAGTGCCAGATCATGGGGCATAAAGGAGTTGGTTTTTTTCCCCCTGGATAATTCTCTTACCACTGCTTGTACCTTTTCCAATGGTTTAAAGACAAGATTTCCCTTGAGGTTTTCTCTAGCCATGTTGGTGCACGTTCCTGCCCAGTTCTCAAGCCTGATTCTTAGCTTCTTTGTTTTCCCTTCAGCTCATGGTGGTCCCACGTGGAGATGGGTCCCCCCGACCCCATCCTGGGTGTGACAGAAGCTTTCAAGCGTGACACCAATTCCAAGAAGATGAACCTGGGTGTTGGGGCATACCGGGACGACAACGGGAAGCCGTACGTCCTGAACTGTGTTCGTAAGGTAAGCCTGGTGCTGTCTGCTGGGCAGGGCCAGATCCAGGTGTTGGGCACCGTGGGAGGGTCAGGGAGGGGGAAGGCCTCTAAGCAAGGTTTGCCTGTTGGTCCTTAGAATAAGCTTTGTCTCTAACAGAGCAGGACAGTGTTCTTGGATGTCTCCGTTAGCAGTACTAATGCTTCTAAGACACAACAGAGCCATTAAGTAGTAGGGGATAAAGCAGGGAATACGTGTCCTGTTCCCATCCAGGTGAATCTAATTAGTTGCTGACTTCCATGAGCCCTCCAACCTAGCTGTCCTCTGAACTTCAAAGTGTTTCTTGAATAGGCTGGTGTTCCCTGGGCCAGCCCACATGGGAGGAAAGAGCTGACATTGTCACCTTAATGGATTAGTCTTAGAAATTCTGCTGAGCTGTTGCTACCAGTTTCCCTATAAGCCAGTCTAAAACTCCAGCCTGGGGAACTGGATGTGGACACTGCCCTTGAGGGGATTACGGAGCCTTTCAGGGCTGTAAGTGTAGAAATAGGCTTTTAAATAGCTGGCAGCTGACACACATATTGACTGGCTGGTCTCCTTGGCTCAGGGAGGATGTATTGTCCACATTTCTCATCAGTGTGGGGTTTAAAGCCATCCCTTGCCCTCGCTTTCCCTGTGTCAGCATGTGTGGCAGCTGGGTCACAACTGGGAGCCTGGGTGGTGTCACAGGAACAGTTTCCTGGTGGTATGCGAATGCTGCCAGGGTCTGTCCTGCTGTCCTGGGAGCACAAATAGGGTTCCCAGAGCATCCCATATATCTCCGTCACTGCATTTTTCCTAAGCGTGGCTCTTTGCTGTCCTTGCTGCCACTCTCTGATCCTGTGTTAGGTAAGGACTCGGACTGGTTTCTGATGCAGAATCTGCTTGAAAGAAGTAGAGGTTAGCAAAGCTGGGGGGAGCCATGTTTAAGGATTGGGTGACTAGCTTTCAGACAGGCCGCTTTCAGAACTGGCTGGGATTTCTGGATTATTTCTTTTTTTTAACCTGCTCCATCTATGTAGTTCAATAACATTCCCAGCATGATGAGGCCCTACAAAGCGCTTGCTACCCTGTCTGTTTTTGGGATGTCTCCCTATGTAGAGACAATCTCTGCCTTTCAGCAACAGTCAAGTCTCGCCTTCCTGCAGGACAATTCCTGCTTGGGCAAAGAAACGTGTGTCCTTGTGCAGCAATGTTGACTTGTAACGGGCTGGAAGCGGTGGTCTTCTCTGGCGCCAGGTTTCCTGGCTCTGCTGTACCAATGGTAGCACCCACTGAAGGCTCTGGTGGTCACTGGACCCTGTGCCCCGTGGTAAAAGCAGGGTTTTGTCTGAAATGTTTACTGCTGCCCCTTGCTTGGAATGAGCCCTGATCTCTGAAGGGAAACTCCTGTAAACCAACCTTTCCCCCTTTTGAGTGAGCAAATGTGAAGAGAAGCAACCTTGAGCTGTCCGCCGTCATCTCCGTGATGATGCCTTCCTTGCTGAATGTGTGTCCTCCTTCCCAGGCAGAGGCCATGATAGCATCCAAGAAGATGGACAAGGAGTATTTGCCCATTGGGGGGCTAGCGGATTTCACCCGGGCATCTGCAGAACTGGCTCTGGGTGAAAACAGTGAGGCTTTCAAGAGTGGCCGGGTAAGGAGCAGGCTGGGAAGCAGGGCGTGGACAGTGCTGTCTGACGCACCGTTGGTACATGGGTGCCCAGCAAAAATGGAAGGACTGGCAGGGGTGCTCATGCCTCTGAGCTGCAAGCTGGCCAGTCCCAAGGCTAACTGCTTCCTCTGAAGGCTGGGGTGAAACAGCCCTTCCTGAGGAGGGGAAATAACCTTGCCAGGGGTCCTAACTCCCTGCCCTACAACTGGAGTTGCTGACCCATGTGGTCCCCTCCAGCCCCATGTCCCTGTTTGGGTGTGCTTCTGCTAATGCTGATGTAGTGACAGGGCTTTCCCTGTATCATACCATGGCTGCTCAGACTCGTGTATTTGTTTCTTCCCTTGCAGTATGTCACTGTGCAGGGTATTTCTGGGACTGGATCTCTGCGAATTGGAGCCAACTTTTTGGTAAGTCCATGGCCGGTGGGGGAAGGAAAGGACATATTTTGACTGGAGCTGAATCTTTGGGGTTTTCTAACTGCTTGAATCTGTTAAACCTGTTTGAATGCTCTGTCTCTCTCTTGATCAGCAACGGTTCTTCAAGTCTAGCCGTGACGTGTATCTACCCAAACCATCCTGGGGAAATCACACACCCATTTTCCGTGATGCTGGCCTGCAACTTCAGGCCTACCGCTACTACGACCCCAAGACATGTAGCCTTGACTTCTCTGGAGCCCTGGATGACATTTCTGTGAGTTGCCTTTCATGCCTGGAAGCAGGGAGCTGATGTGGGGAGATAGGTCACCTTCTTGCTTTAGCCTAAATATGATGCCTGAAGGCACCAAATCAAGGCTAGAAGCCTTGCAGAGCTCATCTAAGCTGTCTGCGGCAAGAGTCCCATCTCAGCTGCTGAGGAAAGTGCTCGGATGTCACTAATAATTCATTCTCTGTAACATCTTCCTTAGAAAATTCCAGAGAAGAGCATCATCCTCTTGCATGCTTGTGCTCACAACCCCACCGGGGTGGATCCCCGGCAGGAGCAATGGAAGGAGTTGGCAGCTATGGTGAAGGTGAGCAGTAGAGTGTCCCAGGGGTGCTGTGCTGTTTCTGGGAAAACCACATCTCTGTGCTTTCGTGGGTGGCATCTGGTCTTCACTGCACTAAAGGTTACTCACTTCCCTGAAGACAGGATGGGTGTCATGTTCCTGTACTGAAGACAGGAGCCAGACAAATGCACTCATAAAGCTTCTAGCTGACTCTCAGACTTTCTGCTGGCACCTTCCCAGGAAGCTGGGGTTGGGAGACATGAAGGGATAGCAGCAGGGTTGAAAGAGTGAGCTGTGATAGCTGGAGCTGGGCTCCCAGTACTGGTGTAGTTAAAAAAGCTGGAAGATCTTTCACGTGCCTGGTGTCTCCTCGCAAGTTTCAGGTGGAAACAGATAGGGGCAGTTTCTTCCTTCATCCTTCTTCTCTTAGTTCCTGCTGCTCCCCCAAGCTGTAGCCAGTGAAATTTGGTTTGGGGATGCCTGGCCATAGTAGTGTCCTGAGAACTGGTAGATACCAAAGTGGCCTCTGGGGCCTACAGATGGCTGTGGGTCTCCTAACCAAGGGACAATGTGGCTGGGTTATCTGCCTGGAAGCATTGGAAGGGCTGGCACCTGCCCAAAGGGTTCCCAGGTGGTTTTCCTGGAAACTGATAATACAGGAGATACTGAAATGGAATAATTTATTACTGTTGAACCCAATTCTGCCTCCTGGGCCAGACTGCACATCCCCTAAATGCCCTGGGAGGGTCTTGCCCTGCTGTTTTGATGTGTGGTGGGTAGCTATGGTTTTGGGGCTGCCTTCCTTGTGGCAAAAGAGGGGAACAGCTCTACTTCTGGAGGAGCACAGTTGCAGTTGAGCAGGCCACTGCCTGCATGGCTCTTTTCAGCCTGCTGCCCTGCTCCCTGGAGGGGTGTTCAGCTCCTGTGACACTCTCTCCCCTCTTTGCTGGCAGAAACGAAACCTCCTCGTGTACTTTGACATGGCCTACCAGGGCTTTGCCAGTGGAGACATCAACCGGGATGCCTGGGCTGTGCGGTATTTCATTGAGCAGGGCATTAACGTCATCTTGTCACAGTCCTATGCCAAGAACATGGGGCTGTACGGTGAGTAGGGCAGATGGTGTGGAAATGGTTTCATCCAGGCTGCTGGAGAGACCCTGCTGCCTCTGGGGTTTAGCAGCCAGTGTCTTTCTGCTGCCTGCATTCATCCTGCAGTACTGGTTGGGGCGCAGGAGAGAACCTGCTGGGGGCTGATGGAGACCCTTCTAGAGAACAGGGCTCTGCTAAAGCTATGTGGCATTTGGATAAGTCCTGTCCCAGCCCTGGGTATCCAAGGGCAAAGGCTGGGACCTGATTGCCCATCTTTCAGGAGAGCGTGCGGGCGCCTTCACAGTGATCTGCAGTGACGCAGAGGAAGCCAAGAGGGTTGAGTCACAGCTGAAGATCCTCATCCGCCCCATGTACTCCAACCCACCCCTGAACGGAGCCCGCATTGCCTCTATCATCCTGAACACCCCTGACCTACGGAAGGAGTGGTAAGAGGGAGCCCCTAATGCTCACGACAGTGAGATGTGAGGTCTCTATGTGGCGGCCCTGTGCCGCACTTACTGTCTGCTGCTGTTATGGGCAGCTCATAGCTTCAGGGATACAGTCAGAACCCCTTTCTTCTGGAGAAATCCCTGCTTGTGTCCTGGCATCAGCTGGTATTGGTCCAGCCTGACATAAACAGGTTTCCTTGTGTTACCAAGGCAGAAAACACTGTAAAGGAGGGGATAAAGCTCCTCTAGGATTGAAGGCTGCAGGAGGTGCCTATCTGAGGAGTGGAGAAGACTGACTGAGGCGTTGTAGCCACGTAGTATGTCTCACATGGGGGAAGCGGAAGCTCCCTGGGAATAAGACCCAGGAATGTAACCCTCAAGCCCTAAGCCTCCGTCCTGGTGTCACCCTGTGCTGCTCTGCCAGCCCCTCGGTGTCGAGTCCCTGCCAGCAGCTGGCCTGACAGAACAAAGGCTGGCTGTGTGTTGTGGCTTTGCCGGGAGCTGTGTTCCTTTGGCAGGCTGATGCTTGTGCCTGATCCAGGGCCCAGCAGAGATGTCTCCTAGCTGTGCTGCCTTGGAGCAGGGGATATCTACCTGCCCTGGGAGGTACCCCGTGCTCTTTGTTTATCTGCAGATATTTTACCTGGGTTTGGGCACCACTACCATGAGGCCTCCTACTCACCTGTGGGTTTCAGAAGTAAGAGATGCCTGTCCTCTGGTAGTAGTGTCCAACAGCTATGGAATAAATAAAGAGCAGTCACCTTCAGGTACCAGGAGACAGAAGCAGTTCCCCAGCTGGAGCTACAGGTTCACGCTCCCTGGTCTTTGCTTGTCTGCATCCCTGTACAAGGCCCCTCCAGGTGGAGCGAGTTGATTCCCAGTAGTTGGCAGGGGGGAGCAGCATTGTTGTGTCCCAGCCCTGCTCTGAGTGGTTCCTGGGTTGGCTTCTCAGGCTTGTGGAGGTGAAGGGCATGGCCGACCGGATCATCAGCATGCGGACTCAGCTGGTGTCCAACCTCAAGAAAGAGGGATCTTCCCACAACTGGCAGCACATCACTGACCAGATCGGCATGTTCTGCTTCACAGGGCTGAAGCCTGAGCAGGTAAACCACAGTTCCTGTGGTCTCAAGGTGTCATTTGCAGTATTTGTCAGTAAGATCTTGACTGCAGGTGCCATAATGAGCCCTCGTAAGCAGTTCTTCCTCCAGGAGGAACATCCTCCAAGCCTGCAGCACTGGAGCATTCTGGGGGCCCAGGTCTTGCTCTGTTCCCTGCTGTGCTTGTGGAGGTTGAAAGCAAACATAGCTTGCTTATCTGTTAAAGGAAACAGTCACTTGGTGCCACTCTGAGGTGACCTTAAAGGTCAGTAGCTCAAGTGAGGTGACTCCCGGCTGAACATCTGTGGTGTTTGTGTGTTGCCCGAGAGCCGAGCAGCATCTCTCTTGGTTTACAGGGTGCACTGCTGGCTCTGCAGGTAGTGGGATGCCATGTCTGCTGGCTCCCAGTTTGCTTTCAGGTCTGGCAAGCTGGGTAAACTTCTACTCTGCTAACAGAGTAGAGGTTGGCCTGTGGTTTGAACTCTGCTCTTTCACCCCAGGTGGAGCGGCTGATCAAGGAGTTCTCCATCTATATGACAAAGGACGGACGAATCTCTGTGGCGGGAGTTACGTCGGGCAATGTAGGTTACCTGGCTCATGCCATCCATCACGTCACAAAGTAAAGACAAAGGTGTGCCCTGGAGCTGGTGGCACTCCCTGCCCCACCAGTCGAAGATGGGGAGGGAAAGGAAACAAGCAGAATACTTCCAACCACAGCACTTGACGCCGCTGCTGAATGTATCTTGTAGATGAGTTGTAGAAGCCTAGTCAAAACTGCCCTGTGTTGTGGAGCAGGGACATCATTGTTGGCTCCTGTGCGTCACAGCCATTCTCCCCTGCTGTCCATCCTTTGTCCATCAGCCCCAGCACCTATCTACCCTGGAGGAAGCAAATGCTTAGCACTGCCATCTTACCAGCGTAGGCACCAAAGGCTTTCCCCATGTTCATTTCTTCATGAGAAGGCTTTGTGCAGCTGTCGGCTGCTGCCCCAAGCAGCAGTGGGCAGGGAACTGGGTGGGCTGAGTGGGAGGGCTGCTCAGCTGTGCCCCTGCCACCTCCTCAGCTGGCCCCTGCTGCCAGCAGGCTCCATCCTCCTCCACCCTTCTGGCCTGGGACTGGGCAGTGCCAAAGCTGTCCTCCGACAACCAGCTCAGGGGACTTCTCACTGCTAAAATCTGCTCCATTGCTGGCTTCACTCTTTCCATCTGGGAATCTCCTTTCAGGTGTAATTCACCGTGGCATCAGTGTGTGGGGCAGACCAGTATCCCTCCTCTAAACCTGCCTGGTTCTCCTGATTTCACTCCCATACCCTGAGGTGAAACAATTTCTCACTCCCCGAATAAGAACCTCCTCTGTAAACTGCTGTCTGTTGGTCTCTGCCTCTCCCTGTTCCTGTACCAACCCCAGCAGCCCTCCCTGTGAAGCAGAGTCTGTGTGTGTGACCCAAAGCTGAGAGGTGGGCCCTGCTGTGCCCACCCTCATGTGGGAGTGAGGGGTATCCCTCTCATCTGCTCTGTTCAGCCAAATTTCTGGTGACACCAGAAAACAGGAGGGAAAGATCCTGAGGGAAGTCTGAGAGCTGACGACTCAAAACCCATTCTGTCTTTCTAAACTGAGTGTCCCTGGAGCTCTGTGACTCACTGGACTCTTATTTTTAATCCAAATAAACTGGGGCAAGGCTGTGTTGAGCTGGCAACTTCCTCCTGTCATCGTACAGCTGGATCCTGTCCCTTCTGTGTGCCAAACATTCCCTCTTGGGGACATGCCAGCACAGGGGATCTGGTATGGCCCATGAAATCCTAATCTCCCGAGAATCCCACATAGAGAGAGGGCAGATCCCACCTGTGTGCCCCAAGAGCACCAGAGGGGTGTAGGCTGAGGCTGCCCCAGGTGGGAATTGATGTCATGGAGCTGAAATTGAAGCCTGCAGGGTTGAATGTAGGTGTTGGTGAGAGCATGGAGTTTCCAAAGGTCATCTACCCTGTGCCCAGCCACTGGAGCACGACAGAGTTCCTCCCTGCAGCAGGCACGGCTGCCTCTCTAGGTGGAGGTGGAGGGGTTACCTCTGAGTCTGCGTGAGCTTTCTCCATCCACTGCTACGTTTCCCCTTTGCAGCTCTACCAGGGCATTGAGCAGAGCTGTCCTTCTTTCTCATGCTGTATCAGAGCAGCTGTGTTCTCCTGCAGAGCTGGGATGGGCCCACCTAGTGCACACTGTCACTGTGTGCTGTACAGGCAGAGGGGGAGCTGCTTGCTGAGGCCGAAGAGGGCTGGAGCCTCCTGCTGCTCCCTGACAAGACGGTTTGCAGTTTTAATGGGGATGATTGTTTATGTGGCCTGCTGCCCACAGCCGCCGCTTGCCGTGATTTGTGCAATAAACCGCTTTCCGTGCTGCTGCTGCCACCGTGGGTGCTGCCCCATGGCGCTGTGGGTTGTCCTGCTGTGGTTTCCCGGTTCTGCCTGGCTCTGGAGCTGCCTTCTGGTTGCGGAGAGCCCTTTTCCCCTGCGTTAGGCCTTTCTGCGACCCATTCTCTGTGACAATAAATATAGAGCCTGGAGCAGAGCCCTGCATTCTGTCCCTGACCTTGCCTGCGGGTCCCTCCAGGTTCAGCTGCAGAGCGATGGGGATGGGCTTCCCGAAGCCAGGACCCCGTCGCCGCTGGTTCCCGGGTTAAGCGTCGCTTCCTGACCGAGATGCCGACGCCCGGGGGCGGCGGGGCGGGCCGGGGGGCGGACTACAACCCCCGGCGTGCAGCGGGCAGGGCGGT